GATTGTTTGCAACGGATGCTTGACTTTCTTTTGAAGGATGTGATTGAGAAATCGGGTATTTAGTATAAGGTTCTGGGGCTGGTGGTCATTAAATTCTTGTGAGATGGATTGCTTGTTGAAAATTTTGTGTACTTTGTTGGGATATGGTGTTTTCTGCCATGAAGGGAAAGTAGTTGGTTTGGTTTTGACTCATGGATATGATCTTGGGTGTGGTTGTAATATGGGTGTGGTTGTGATGTGGACAGGGAGGAGGCAGCAGCTGTGTGGTGTTGGTTGTGGTGGTGTTTCAAGTCAGTGGAGCTAGGTCTTAATAAGAATTAATTTAACATGAGTTCAGACAGCAGGAGCCGAAGCAGGAGCAGGAGCAGGAGCCCTACGGATCGTAAGATCCGTTCTGATCGCTTTTCCTACCGCGATGCACCTTACAGGAGAGATGGAGGACGTCGGGGTTTCAGGTTTAATGGCTTTTGACTATTATTTTATTTCTTCTCGTCTTTGTAAAATGTGGGTTGATAAGGGGAAAGTAATCTGTCAACATGTCTTCGTTGGAGATGTTCTAGAATCTTACTATCAACCGTATCTGTTGAGTAAGACCTCTACTTGAATATATCTTAGAAGACCTTTTGAAGTTGATATTTCTTAATTTTGGCTCTGGTTAATAATGAGCTTTGCTTTGTTGTACATTTGTTTAGACCTTTGTAAGTTTTCGAATACAAATGTCAATCCCATTGATTGTTTAACAACGTAATTAAGTATCCATCATCTTGGTTGTAGAGGTAGCTTTGTTTATGTCAGTGGTGCACAAAGGCTGTAAGCTTTTTACTTTTGTATTGTCAGATACATTTAGCTCCGTACATGTATTAACTCCTTCAACTTTTTGCATTTTTTGGGTATTTTTTTAAAACTTCAGAGTGCTTTAGTTTCACGCTCTGAATGTTTTGGTTTTGCTTGTTTCTTGATGTGATTATGGGTCTGATTCTTCTTAATGATAAGTTAAAATTAAGGAGTGGTTTGAAATTTGGAATGCCATTAGTTTTTGCTCAGAAATTAATCTATTGCAATTTTTTTTTTCCAGCCGAGACAATCTGTGCAAGAACTGCAAACGTCCAGGCCATTATGCTAGAGAATGCCCTAATGTTGCAATTTGTCACAATTGTGGTCTTCCTGGGTATGGAAACTTATTTTGCCTTGCAATTGGACATCATAATGTTCCATTATTTGCTTCTCCGCATTCATTATAATCATTTTATTTGTTTGTTCTTTTGACCTTTTGTTTTCTGGGAGAGGGTTTGAAGAGGTTGGGGTTCCAGACTTTCTAGAGAGTTGAAATCTATGAGAAATTAAATATGCTAGTTATTGCTAGAAGTCCAAACATACAAATCCTGAGTATGTAATTTTGCTTTACTGCATCTTACATCCCTCTACTGTCTCTACCTGAACCATTTTGCAGCAAGACAAATGCTACTGTCTCTGCTACCAAGTGATCTATTTCAATCATAGTTTTACTGATAATTCAGAAACTGAAGTTTCTTCCCCCATTTTTCTGTTCAGAAATTATTATCACCATCATAATTATAATATTAATCCTTTCACGTGTTTAGTTATAACAGCATGTTCTCCACCATTTCCGTCTTCAATGATTATACCACTATTGCCACCATTCAGTTTCACTGGTAAATCACATAAACCTTAACACTGCAGGTTGCCGTAATAACACCCACTATCTTTGTTATAATTTTGACATTAACACCTACCACTTCATGCCTCAACACCGCCCCACCATCCCACAGCTACTGTCTTCCCCTGTCAACTTATCTTCATTGTTACCACTTCAGTTTCTGTCCGCTGCCACTAATATGTTAGTGCATGTTTTCCCTGCACCACTTTAGACAATTACTAGCCACCAACACTATCACTTTCATATCCCTTTCTCCCGTAACTCTGTGCCAATAGTACGACAATAAAGGTTTTAAGAAAATACCTACAGTTCGAGAGAAATATGCATGGTCCCCAGCAACAACAAGGCTTTGATGCATGGCAATTTGTCAAATTTTTCATATTTTCTGGAGCCACCTCGGTCTCCATGCTCTTAGGACTGCTTTAATCTTCGACCATTATTTCTGTGAGACTATGGTGATGGGAAAAAGTTATTATTTTGGAGATCTTCAGGTTTTAGGTATATTAAGACAATTCAGAATGTTCTGTTTTCCATTTTAAAGCAAAGTAGCAGTACCTTGTGTTGAAAGCGGTGGGTGAATTAATTGTTTCATTGATTCAATAAGGTTGATCTCGCAGTAATAATGATCTGCCTCATGCAGATGTCTTCTTCTTTAATTTTTTTTTTTTAAGGTGAAACAAATATGCTACATGTTTAACGGCGCTATTGATTGTTACTGACATAGTTGTGCTTGTGCCATTTAATGTTCTACTAGGCACATTGCTTCAGAGTGTACTACAAAGTCGCTATGTTGGAATTGCCGGGAACCTGGTCACATGGCCAGTAACTGCCCAAATGAAGGCATCTGCCACACCTGTGGTAAGGCTGGACATCGCGCTAGAGATTGCACGGCTCCCCCAATGCCACCTGGGGACTTGAGGTTGTGCAACAACTGCTACAAGCAGGGTCATATTGCAGCTGACTGCACAAATGATAAAGCATGTAACAACTGTAGAAAGACAGGTCACCTAGCACGTGATTGCCCAAATGAACCCATCTGCAACTTATGCAATGTATCTGGGCATGTGGCGAGACAGTGCCCCCGAGCCAATGTCTTGGGAGAGCAGCGTGGAGGTGGAGGTGGAGGTGGAGGTGGAGGAGGTGGAATGCGCGGCGGCGGTTATCGTGACATTGTATGTAGGAACTGCCAACAACTTGGGCATATGAGCAGGGATTGTATGGGCCCCTTGATGATCTGTCACAACTGTGGGGGACGAGGACACCTGGCATACGAGTGCCCTTCTGGCAGATTTATGGATCGCTACCCCAGGAGGTACTGATAAGTGGCAGATGATGTTACGGAATTTACCTTTTATCTCAAGCAAGCAGTTCTGATTTAGGTTTTAGATTGAAGGTTGAAACTTCAGACTATTGAGGAGTTGAATTGAGACTTTGTTTTGGTAGGATGTGTTTCTGTTAATGTGGAGTACCTATTTTGCGTTAGAACATAATTGATGATGACTTAGTATGATTATGTATTGAATTTTTGGCAATTACTGATAAATAAAACAGTATGTAATTGGGTTGCCTGAGGATGTGATGTCTGCTGATTTCTGTCTCTCTTCTTGCTTTTCACATCATGTATGATTTGGAAGCTTGTGAACTCTTGAAAGTGAGGCTCTTTTGTGCCAAGTAGGGGTGGGCATAGTCCGGTCTGGTTTTCACCTCACACAGGAACTGGTACTATTCAAACGGTGTGGTTCGGTTCGGTTTTGACATAAAAAAAAAATAAGAAACAAGTAGGTCTAGTTTTCGGTCTTCGACCAGATTTTTTTAAAATTAATTTTTTTTAACAAATAACAACAAAAAATTTATTTTTTGGGTATAAAAAATCACAAATGACATAATTTCATGCAAAGAGAGATGATTGGGCCTAGAAAAGAGAGGTGCTTTGAAGTTGGACTTGAGGAAATATTAGTTATGGGATTAAAAATTTAGTATTGGACTTAAATAATTTTTTAAAAATAAAAAAATACACAATCGATCTAGTTTGGTCTGGTTTGGTTTTGTAAGGTGTGACCCTTGAAACCTCTAAAAATTGCTTGAGCCACATCAGAGTACCTGCCCAGCACGTCTGCCTGCACCTGCCACGTCTGGTGCAAGGCCTGTCCACACTCTACACTGCCCACATCTGCTCATCATGTGCTGCGCATCTGCTCGCCATACGTTGTCAATAGCTTCCGAAGGCCATGCTAGCAGATTCCATATATTCCTCCAACATTGTCATGTTTTCAATGTGCATCACCGTTGCATATTTCACTTGCCTTGGTATGGTGCAAAACACCGAAACCATGCCATGACCTATGCCGCTTATTAAGGATCTTACACTAAGATAGTGGTCATCAGATCTCAGTAATACAATACGAATGGCAATAAGGATAAGGATTCCAAAGGTATAAATTAATATCTATAGGTTAAAAAAATGCTTTCTATCGGTTTGTCTTGGTATAAATTAATTTGCATGGTTTTGTATTTAACGTTTGTGTTAAGGAATGCAAGTTGGCTTTAGACTCAATGGATCACATAGTTGCCTTTACTATATCAATTGAAGTTGAAGCTAAGAGCATCCACAGTGGGGGGGTGTATTTTTGGGGGTGTAAAATCACTTTTCTCCATTTTTCCTCTCCTTTTTGCAGATGGGTCCCACCTGCAAGAGATGTAAAAAAAAGATGTACAATTGCATCTAAATATACATCTCAAGGTGGTGATGTAATTATACATTCATATACACCCCCCCATTGCGGGTGATTCCGATCATAACGGGTGTATATTTAACATACACCCCCTTACCCCCCCAACTGTAGATGCTCTAAGGTTCCCATCCCTATGAGAGATGATATCTTTACAAGCCAAAATCTCTTGTATTTATAGATGTTAAGATAATTGTCTCATTTTTTGAACCTTGCCCATCCAACTATTCATGGTACCACCCTACTGTCATTTGCTCCAACAATGAAGCGTGAAAATCGAAATTTGAATTTGGGAAATTTTAAGAAATCATTGGAGGAAGAGTTGTAGTGAGGAAGAGTAATGACATTCAACATAACAGTATATAAACAAACTTGAGTTTCAAAACTTATTTGAATTTTTTTTTCAAGTCAAAATTATATTTTTAACCTTTAGAGATTAAGATGATGGCAGCTGCTAAGACACTATAGAGGCACTATTTATGTGTTATGTATGTGCTGAGCAAAGCCCCTCTATATGGGCACTATCGATTGAGCGTTCATCATGGATTCAATTGGGCGACATTAAGGATTATTCCCATATTATAAGTCAGATATTTTAATAGAGAAAGTCAAATATTGATAAGCAGGATGGGTGAAAGTCTTTGATTGTCATGTTATATACATGAAAAAATAAAATAAAACACATTAAATTCTGCCACCATAAAATCTTACAAATGAAACTAGCACAGAAGTTTACAAGTTTGGCAAAGATTGAATAATTGCATGTTCAAAGGTAGATGAAATCATGTTGGAGACACAGAGAGAAGGGTGGAACTTGTGTTGATAGTTTCCATTTTCATCATGGCCTCCAGTCAGAGCTCGCTGCAACATTTACATAGAAAAGAAGCATAAATTTGGGCAACAAGAGAGAGAGCAATTGCAGATATGCAAACATGTGAATGTGATGATATATTATGTTTACCTGAAAGAACGATAAAAGTAAATGGTAGAAATAAATTCAGGGCCGGCTAGACTAAATTTGAGCAGATGATACTCACAATGTTGGTCTCAACGATTTCTTTGATTTGATTTAGTCCCTCTGAATTTATCAAAAGGAAATATAAGAAAATCCATGAATAGAGCTTGAGAAGAGAAGGCGATGGCTGTTCTCCAAACAAGAGTTTGGTATACAAAATCAAGTAGACTGAGGATACACCTGCTAAAATCTTAGCTCTCTTGTGATCGGTGTCGAGGTTTGCAACATTCTCATGTAAAGCGACCAAAGCAGCAGCACAAAGGATACCAACCTGTCTCATTCCACCTCCTAAGGTTTTCCTGAGCCTTCTAGGCTAAGAAGCAAAAGCAACAATGAATCAAATTTCAATAAAAAAAAAAGAAAGAAAAGATGTGTTGTTGATCTTTACGAGAGGAATTCTCAACAGTATCTTAGTAATAAAGCATTTGGAACCAACAAGGACAGATCCAACAGGAGCACCAATAACTTTTGACAGGCATACCTTTTGACATCATCATGAACTTCGGCAGCTGCCATTGCGGCCTGCATTGTTTCACCCACTAGGTTTAGTGACCGGCAGATCCACCATTTTAGTTACCATTTTTGCTGAAGAAACAAATCCTAATTGACCAAAAGGAGAGACACACAGAATCAGTTCTTAATATATTGCCTGAACAGAAATACATAAACAAATTACTAAATGCAAACAGATAAACTGCTGCTTACAGAAATTGTTTTCGTCTACCATTGCTGGATACTATACGAAAATGATCAATTAGTAGTATGAAAGAATTTGGAGGGAAAAACACCAAAACTCTGTTGCTTGAAAGTGGGAAATTATGGCAAACAGTAGTGTGGTTTTGGAAGCAACAAAAACAAAATTCCGATGCGAAACGAATCCCTTCATCAATGTAGCCAAATTAAATAAAACAAAAACGCTCTAATGTGAAAAACTTTCATTTATGTTGACCGTAAATTCAAGCGTAATTCAATCTTACTACTCTACTGGGAGAGTTTTTTTATGATCAAAACAAAGGACCCAATAAAAAACTTCCCAACTTGAATCCATTTCTAAGTGACTAGACCATGCCAATGAACTTGGAACTAGTCTTCATTTACCTATTCACTATTTCATTTTCTTCATCAGTAAAAAATGCAGCAGCCAAACTGAAAATTAAACAAAATCATCAGCCAGTGCAGAATTAATATATAATCCTCTCCTTCTCTGCAAATGGTTTGTCTAACTAGAAACTAGAAAACTGAAAACCAGCAGAAATCACAGGCCGATATTATAACCTAAAACTCCAATAAATAAATAAATAAATAATCAAAGCCTAAAAATAACAAAAACTAATTATGCCATGGATACAAAGCAAAAAGAGAACCGAGTACAGAAACCCTTTCTCCTTAGATGATTCACTTCCAAGCTACAATTAAATCGGTTTTCTCTAATTTACATTAACAATCCCAGGTTTCAGTACACCAATTTCGCTGATTTAGAAAAAAAAAATTGCATATTTACCTCTCTAGGCTACCAACCAAGACAAACCAGGATGAAATTGAGGAGGTAGCAGATTGAAGGTTGCGACTGTAGATTCTTTGAGCGAATAATCTTTTTCTTGATGGGAAGGAGGAAGATGAAGACAGTACAATCTTTTTCTTGATTGGCCTCAAGATTTGAGAAAGAAAGAGAGAGAGAAAGGCGAATGTGAGAGGGAGGGATTGGATCTCGGCGATCATCCATAGTGGACTTGGTGTGGAAGAAGAGGAAGTTGTTTCACAGGTTGGAGACAAGGAGAGGAGAGAAGGCATCGCTACGTAAGTTTAGTTCAAGGTTTAGTCGGGTCGGGTGTCATTAGAAATACGGGTTTTATTTTACCCGTTTCTACTGTAAGATTGGATTTCTTTTCATCCGTTGGATTAGATCCAACGGTGACCGGATACAGTGACAGGATATAATAAGTGAGCGGACTCGACCGCGCGGCACGTGAAACCCCTTCTTGCTTACGGTTGGCTTCTTCTCCTTCTCTACTACTCAGTTAATTTTAACACAAAATCTTTTTTAGTGTTTAACGATAAAACGTACATCATCCTACCAGGGAAGGGAACCGGAACCTTAAAACCCTAACCCTAGCTCTGTCGATTTTAGGGTTTTCAATCTCCGATTTCCGAATTTAGTATATTCAAATGGAAGCCGAAGAAGAAGATGTTTCGAAGGTGAACGAGCCTTCGGTTCCGGTTCAAAATGACGCCGTACTGTCTCCTGAAACAGAGGAGGAGCTCCGGAGAACCGAGCCCCAATGCATGTCGGAGTCTTTACCCGAGCCCGAGCTCAAGCCCGAAACCGAGGGCTTCGGGCTCGGTGTTGAGGGGGAATCTGATGCGGTTCCAACAGAGGATACTGAGATTGTGGAGGAGCTGAATGTCGCAGAAGGTCATGGGACAGAGGATACTGAGATTGTGGAGGAGCTGAATGTCGCAGAAGGTCATGGGACAGAGGATACTGAGATTGTGGAGGAGCTGAATGACGCAGAAGGTCATGGGACAGAGGATACTGAGATTGTGGAGGAGCTGAATGTCGCAGAAGGTCATGGGACAGAGGATACTGAGATTGTGGAGGAGCTGAATGTCCCTGAAGGTCATGGGCCAGAGGATACTGAGATTGTGGAGGAGCTGAATGTCCCTGAAGGTCATGGGCCAGAGGATACTGAGATTGTGGAGGAGCTGAATGTCCCTGAAGGTCATGGGCCAGAGGATACTGAGATTGTGGAGGAGCTGAATGTCCCTGAAGGTCATGGGCCAGAGGATACTGAGATTGTGGAGGAGCTGAATGTCCCTGAAGGTCATGGGCCAGAGGATACTGAGATTGTGGAGGAGCTGAATGTCCCTGAAGGTCATGGGCCAGAGGATACTGAGATTGTGGAGGAGCTGAATGTCCCTGAAGGTCATGGGCCAGAGGATACTGAGATTGTGGAGGAGCTGAATGTCCCTGAAGGTCATGGGCCAGAGGATACTGAGATTGTGGAGGAGCTGAATGTCCCTGAAGGTCATGGGCCAGAGGATACTGAGATTGTGGAGGAGCTGAATGTCCCTGAAGGTCATGGGCCAGAGGATACTGAGATTGTGGAGGAGCTGAATGTCCCTGAAGGTCATGGGACAGAGGATACCGAGATTGTGGAGGAGCTGAAAGTCGCTGAAGGTCATGGAACAGAGGATACCGAGATTGTGAAGGAGCTGAGTGTCGCCGAAGGTCAGGTGACAGAGGAAAATGAAGTTGGGGCCGTGGATGAAAAGGATGAAAAAGGATTGGAGACGGAGAAGGTGTTGTCTGAGGAAGGTGTTGTAGCTCACTCGGCAAAGGAGGCTGCTGAGAAGTCTAATGTGGCTGAAGTGGCTGAGGAGACTGTCATTTCATGGAAGGACCAAGCAGAGGAAAAGACGGCTGAAGTGGAAGGGGAGGAGGCCGAAGCAGAGGCTGAGAAGGTCCAAGCGGTGGGAGAGCAGGCTGAGGCAGAGGGTGAGAAGACTGAGGCTGAGGCTGAGGTGGAGGGAGATGATGAGGCAAATGTGACGGACATGGTGGCTGAGACCGACATGGTGGAGGAGGTGGATGTGGCTGATGATGCGATGGAGGAGACAACTGAGGCAGAGGAGACAGAGGCAGCAGAGGAAGAAGCAGAAGGAATGGAGGTAGAGGAGGAGGAGGAGGATGAGGAAACGAATAGGGCCGGCAGTGGTGGGAAGAGGAAGCGTGGGAAGAGTTCCAAGGTGACGGGAAAACTCCTCTCAAAGAAGAAGATGGAAGAGGATGTCTGTTTCATTTGCTTTGATGGGGGTGAGCTTGTACTTTGTGATCGCAGGTCAGTTAAACTCTGTCACTGTTTGTGCTTCTTTCAATGTTACTTCTGTGATTAGTTGATTGAATGATATTGATTTAATTGGTGGTTTTCAGGGGATGTCCTAAAGCATACCATCCTTCATGTGTTAATCGTGATGAGGCTTTCTTTCGGGCTAAGGGTCGATGGAATTGTGGTAACTTTCTCTTACTTTTTGCCCAATTCTCATCTTTTTTATCTAATACTCCTTTGTTTACTCATTCTGTGTCTTTCAGATGTTTGATTTCATTCCGTGTCTTTCAGATGTTTGATTTTTGGTGATTATTTATGTGTTAGGCATGTGGTGTTTGTAGTTTAAACCCTAGCTGGATAAGTAAATGGTTAGTTTTAGTGATGATTGGGTTAGTGTTTTCCTGTTGTAAAATTGAATGTTTTTTGTGTTTGAAATTTGTTAATTACAGAAGAAAAAGCAATACCAGTTGTTGGCAAGGTCTGAAAAATTGATACTGTTTTTAAAATTTTGGGTTTTCCATACTTCCAGTAAGTTTCTTTTTGCATACTTCCAGTATTTTAGGGAAACAATGGAAAGTTTGGACCGAAGTTTTATGCTATTTGTGTAGTTAACGACCCAGAATTGTTCTTTGTTGTGTCAAATTACTTTATAATATGGAATGCTGCTTAAGTAAGGGGGACTTAAGCAGCGTAAATCAAATCTGTGGAACTCATAGGGCTACACTTTATGATGTATCAAATTCAAGAGTAAGGAGATATATCTTTATTAAAGCATGAAAATCAAGTCCTACTTTGTCAAATTTTGAATCTCATACCTACTTAAGATGTTACATTCTAGAAAAATTTGTGTTGTGCATTTTAGATGATTTCTTATATTCTTATAGATAATCAAGATAGTGGCATTGAATATATATATATATATATATATATGCTATATTATCAACCTAAGTGTTACAGGATTGCTACACCCCCTACTTACCATGACCCAAAACATGGTACACCAAACTGCAGATCACTAAAACTAGCGTCCCTAGTTTTATTCTGTTCTCTCTCGCTCTTTTTTTTTTGTTTTTTTTTTTCCATCCATGAGTAACCATAATACTTCGATTAATTTTTTATGAAGGATTAAATGAAACAAAAAGTTATGCTTTATTTAAGAAAAGAACACAGAAGGTTTATACATATATTCGATTCTAGGGTAATGTTCTCTTGCCAGATTTATGTTTCTAGGCTGGTGCTTATGTTGTCATATGTTGCATCTATCTAGATCATACATTCAGGAAAGAATCATCCTAATGTCTTGCCCAGATTCACAGTCTGGCAGGAGAGCATTTCCATTTTGTTACACACACACACACACACACACACACACACACACACACACACACACACACACACACACATCTCTATTTTATTGGTCACATAGTTTTTAAATCTGATTCTGATGTTTCTATATTTTTACAAGTTGATTCTAAATCTATCACTGTCGTTAAATATATACTTATAGTACCAAAGCAATCTTATAAGAAATTCTAATGCGTTCCCATGACCAGATATGCAAACTAAGCTTACCCCGACTGCATTGTGTACAGTAAAAGCTAAAGTAACATAACGAGTACCGGACTCCTACCAAGTACCAGGGCGAACCATGCTCTAGGCAACATTGGTCAATCTGTTTGGTTTTGGAAGGATTTGGGTTTATGTTATGCTGCATTTACAGTAGTTCAGACTCTGGCCTTATGCTGGAAGTTCTGTCTTTTTGCACTCCATTTGTGATTTGTCATCTAGTTTTACTGAATGTAGTGGCCATTGTCTTTTTTGAGTGAGATTGCAGGCATTATGATTTCATCTTCTCAGCTCCAATTCTTTTACATTTGTGACTTAGTTTCATCATTTCTCATCATTTATAAAAATGCTTATTTTTTAAAATGGTTTTAGTGTTTTTGGGTTGCTGGCCAGTATCTAATGCATGAATAAATGTATATTAGGTTGGCACCTTTGCAGCAACTGTGAGAAGAATGCCCACTACATGTGTTATACATGTACCTTTTCCTTGTGCAAGGGGTGTACCAAAGATGCTGTCTTCTTATGTGTTCGAGGAAACAAAGGCTTCTGTGAGACATGCATGAAAACTGTCATGTTGATTGAAAAGAATGAGCAAGGAAACAAGGACACGGTATGATACCTTCTTTCTTTTTGTCTTCTGTTTTTCTCTCACTGCTTTTATATTTTCCTTTTGCGAGCATTGTCATTATTAGGGTGAAAGATATATCTTACTTTGAAGTATTTTAGCGTGTGAAAGTAATGTGTCATGTAATTCTTTTTTGTTACATCCTTAAAAATCTGTTAGCCTTTTTTTTTTCTTTGCAGTTGTCTTATCATCAGATAGAACCTTTTGGAAACATTGCAGGAATTTTCTACCTTTAATTTTTTTTGTCCTCAATTAAGTACTTCCATTGTTAAGAATTAATTCCATGTTTATCTTTTTAGTTCTTTTTACTTTTTGTTTTGCTTTAACTCTGTAGTGCCATTTTACAAGTCTGGTTCACATTTTCTTAATTAAATGCTTGCAGTGGCATTCAGCTTGTACTTATTTTTGTTGTGCTTGTGCAGAATGAAGTTGATTTTGATGATAAAACCAGCTGGGAGTACCTCTTCAAGGATTATTGGATAGACTTAAAAGAGAGGTTATCTCTAACGGTTGATGAACTTGCTCAGGCCAAGAATCCATGGAAAGGAGCAACTGGACATAAACAGGAGTCCCATGATGAACCTTATGATGTTAATAATGATGAAGGGTCTGAGTCAGACAATTCTGAGAATTTGGATTTGGCCAACTCTAAAAAAAGAAAGGCCAAGAAACGATTGAGAACCCGTGGAAAGGGGAAGGATTCATCAAGTCCAGCTACAGCAACTAGCTCTGGAGGCCGATCTGCAGATGACAGTACAGG